AATAAATAAATATTTACTAACAATCACGCCACGTTAACTGGTCCCGTGATAAGTTCGTAAAGAACTTGTGTTACAGGTACCAGATAACGGAAATAAATGTAAGATTTTTATTATACACATACATATATTTAATATACATCCATAACCCTGGAAAAGACATTTATATTTATCATACAAATATCTTTCCTTGGCGGGATTCGAACCCGCGACCCCCTTGTGTAGTGACCATGTCACTAACCACTACACCAGACGGTCGTTGAATAAATATATGTATGTAATATGTAATAAATATGTATGTATGTAATAAATATATGTATAAATAGAAATCTTTTTTCTGAGACACGCTATGTAATATGATTAAAAAAACAGTTAATCTACGGTCACGTCAGCTGGCTTAAGCTTTAAATTGCGGGCTTACTAAATATAAACAATAGCAATTCGGGCGTTTAGCCCAGCATAAGAAAATTGTATTACTCTAATGTTAAGCTTACTGGTTCACGAATGATTACTTTAGTCGCCGTGGCCTAAAGGATAAGACGTCCGGTGCATTCGTATCTAGCGATGTAACAGTGTTCGAATCCCGTATGCGGGTACCAATTTTTCTAATGAAATACGTACATAACACGTTGACTATTCTGTAAGTCACCGGTGCTCTACGCGGTGCACTGAAGAAATTATGTTGGTTTCGGTTACTGAGCGTATGGATTGCCTAACTTTACCTTCTTTTGTTTTTAATGTATGTTTTAGTCTTTTAGGTCTCTTGAAACTAAATTCATTCTCAGTATCTTCGGATTCGTCTTTCCCAGAGCTTACGGGCGCCTTAGTAACAATAGAAATCGACATGATTACTTCAATGCGCCACGTTGGGCACTACATGGCAGTTAAAGGGTTAAGAAATGTTCACGATTGACTTCCACGGTGAAGGAGTAACATCTATATTTATAAAAATGAATTGCTGTTCGTTAGTCTCGCTAAAACTCGGGAACGGCTGGACCGATTTGGCTAATTTTGGTCTTGAATTATTTGTGGAAGTCCAGAGAAGGTTTAAAAGGTAGATAAATATGAAAATGCTCGGAATTAAATAAAAATATCAATTTTGTTTTCCCTTTGATGTGTCCCCCGTCGGACGGATTACTTTTGTTTGTTTAAAGTTTATTTTATACAAATGTTTAGGTCTTTTATTTATCGATTGAGGCACTACGAAGTCTGCCGGGTCAGCTAGTCGTGTAATAAAAATCAAAATTTTAATAAAAAGCAAAATTATAATTAGTTGTTGTTGTGCGTGTCCGTTTCGCAGACAACATCGACACCCGCGGCGCCATCGACGCCTTGCGAGAGCTGGTGTGCGCGTGCCACGTGTACCTGCGCGGCGCGCGGGCACGGCCCAGCCCCGCGCTGGCGGCGGCGGCGCGCTACGTCACGGACGTGCTGCACGTGTTCGGCGTCGTCGAGGGACCCAGGGGCGGCATCGGCTTCCCGGTCGGAGACGCTGACGGTGTTTCGGTATGTTCCATTTTGCTTAGATGGGTGGACGAGCTCACAGCCCACCTGGTGTTAAGTGGTTACATCCACAACGTAAATACGCCACCCACCTTGAGATATAAGTTCTAAGATTTCAAGTATAGTTACAACGGCTGCCCCACCCTTCAAACCGAAACGCATTACTGCTTCACGGCAGAAAATACACAGGGTGGTGGTACCCATCCGCGCGGACTCGAATAGTAGAATTATTTTGTCCGTGCAGCTTGGGTCATAAATGATCGAAGTGGTGATCTCTCTCTCTTCCACTCACGGGCCTTATGGATGGGCATAGTGATGTGCATTATTGTTTTCGATAAGCGTTATCGATAGTGTATTTAGTTTTGTCATTTTGTAGGTCGGTGATAAAAATGAAAGTAAAAATCACTAATCGAACACTTGCACCACATATCGCCGCAGTAAGTTAACGTGAACGGCAGAAATTAACACTTTGTAACTTTTCGCGATGTACTATAATTTGCAGGTACAAATGTTTCATAACATAACAATGTCTCACCACTCTTCGTATACCACCCCGCCACCTTCGTATACCACCTGTCTTCGATGACTCATTTGTTTTTATCGATAATGACGTCGCGCAACATGCTCACCACCCTAGCCGGGCTATGATTTATGACCCAAACTGCACGGACAAAATAATTCTACTATAGTTTGTTTTACCCCGTTAACGTAGTATGTGCAAGTCGTGATGTGTGTTGCAGTTGGAAGAGACTGTGATGCCGTACTTGGAGGCGCTGAGTGCGTTCCGCGAGCGGGTGCGCGAGGCGGCGCGCGCGGGGCAGGGCGGCGAGGTGCTGGCGCTTTGCGACGCGCTGCGGGACCGCGTGCTGCCAGACCTCGGCGTGCGCCTCGAGGACAAACCAGGTCGTAAACCGAGTGACGTGCACTTATTTAAGGCCTGGTCCAGAAAGGGCGAATTCGCCGCGATTCTCTCGTGCGTATAACGCGCGACCGCTTCGCCCAGAAAGAGCGTACCTACGCGGGAGCAATTGGGAACGAATTTAATTAATACAAAGCTTACCGTCGCTAGAAGAGACAAAAACGAAGGGAAAATATAATGTATTTAGTACATCAAATTCTTATGATAGAATGACACATAGTATGTTTGTCTTTCTTTTTTCCTCGTTGTTGTCATCTTTATCAGAAAATATTAACACCAATTCTTTTCAAGATCTACGTTTTAAAATTCTATTGTCATAATCAGGTGATTCCAAATCCCATATCGCCGGTAGTTTTTCTATTTCGTCTATAAATAATTCCATAGGTATCAAATATTTGGCGCTCCATTTCCCTGAATACGTTCACTCGCTCTGGAGTTCACGCGTTAGCTGGGCGCAACAAGGCGTCCGTAGTATCTCGACTCGCGCGACATTACGCGCGAATCACGCGCGAGTCGAGAGTCTGGCGTAGTGCACGCGATTTACACGCGTATTTTGAATTCGCGCGATGCTTGTGGACGCGATGTATTGGGGCCTAGTATCTCACTGACGCGCGAATGATTTCGCGGCGAATTCGTCCTTTCTGGACCAGGTTTAAGGCTTCGTCAAACAGAACACGTACTTAGCGCGCGTCAGAACGCCATACTGACGGCGCGCTATGACGCCGAGATGTCTTGTACTCAGGGACGTCTTATAATAGGATGGGGCCCTTGGGCACACAAGAATTTGAGGCCCTTTTGGAAAGTAAAAAAAGCGAATTATAATAACATTTTTTTACTGAGTTTGAGACCATTTATTATAGGTAATCAAATACAGTATGATATAATATGCCATTAATGATATTACAATGCTGCTGGTTTTTTGGTTACGATTTCGATAACGGTTTCTTTCGGGATTTCTGTTGAGCAAAATCTTCTATCATAGTCATAGTATATGCCTTGTAAATACCTTCTGATTACTGATTTGTGAAAAAAGTGTAATGTGCCCGACAAAAATGTTTTGAGAATAAACGTGTGAGAGAAATTGTCGGTCTTTCGGGCCCCCCTGAGAATGGGGGCCCTGGGCACGGGCCCCGTGTGCCCTTATGGTAAAGACGGCATTGCTTGTACTACTATGGTAATAAACTGTCAAACAGAGCGCCAGCGCTATAATTATGCAACGCTCTGTCGCGGCGTTAGGACGCTTTGACGTCAGGCGTTGTAATTTTTTACAAATTTTATTTTAGCGTCCGAATGAATGTGAATTAAAATACTGGATAATGCCCGAAAAATTTATAGAATTCGTTAGAAAATACCCATGCTTAAACAATGTCACATCTGAATCACTCGACATCTTAATACTTTTAAATTTTGAGACTGCTATAGAAAGACACTATGATTTGGCGGATGTTACTTTGCGTCAAGAAGCGTTAGGCTTATCTAGTCAATTTGTGTGACATGAAAAGAGCGCGACGTTAAAACGCAGCGCTAAGTACGCGTTCTGTTTGACGAAGCCTTTATTATTGTTCTTCGGCGTGCCCTCAACTTCATCAGAATAGTCTATCGTTTGAACCATGAAGTATAAATCACATGTTTTTTTTTTATTGCTTAGATTGGTACGAGCTCACAGCCCACCTGGTGTTGAGTTGTTACTGGAGCCCATAGACATCCACAATGTAAATGCGCCACCCACCTTGAGATATAAGTTCTAAGGTCTCAGTATAGTTACAACGGCTGCCCCACACTTCAAACCGAAACGCATTACTGCTTCACGGCAGAAATAAGCTGGGTGGTGGTATCTACCCGCGTGGTTTCACAAGAGGTCCTACCACCAGTAATTACGCAAATTATAATTTTGCGGGTTTGATTTTTATTACACGATTATTCCTTCATCGTGGAAGTCAATCGTGAACATTTGTTGAGTACGTATTTCATTAGAAAAAATGGTATCCGCCTGAGATTCGAACACCGGTGCATCGTTCAACACGAATGCACCGGACGTCCTATCCTTTAGGACACGACGACTTACTGATATTGGGTGCGGACCCTACATCATATCACAAACTCATTTTAAAGTGAAAAGATTAATATTAAATAAATTTAAATATGGATAATGGGTACTCAATTCATATTTCGAGTAGGGGTGGCACTTTTAATCTCACTCAATGTATAGCCTAAAATGGATAGTTTAATAATAATTAGATTTTCTTAACCAAACCATATTTATATTTTATAAAAATCTTTGTTCCATACCCGTATTTTCTTTACTTTTGCATATTTTTTTTCTCTTGACAGCACGAATTATTTATCACTCGCAAAGACCGATCCAAATTTAAATAATAATCGCTAATAACAAAAAAATGTTATCAGATCGGACAGTAGTAAAATTGGTCAGCAAAGAGGAACTGTTAAAGGAGAGAGAAGAGAAGAAGCGTTTGGAAGCAGAGAAGCAAAGAAAGAAACAGGAGTTACTCGAGGCGCAACGTTTGAAGGAGGAACAAAAGAAAATATCACCCGCCGAAATGTTCAGGAAGGAAACTGACAAGTATTCGAAGTTCGATGAAAAGGTACCTACCTACCTACCCTTGCTCAGTTAACGAATCGAAAAAAAAAACGATTAAAGTAAACATTGTTTATTCAAGTTTTTGGAATGAAGTTCCTTATGAGACGATGCGGAGGGTACCCCCTAACTGGGAAAAAACGTCCGTAACGTAAGATTTTTATTAGTTACTAGCTGACCCGGCAGACTTCGTAGTTCCTCAATCGATAAATAAAAGACCTAAATTTTATTTAATTCCGAGAATTGTCATATTTTTCTACCTTTTAAACCTTCTCTGGACTTCGGCAAATAATTCAAGACCAAAATCAGCCAAATCGGTCCAGCCGTTCTCGAGTTTTAGCGGGACTAACGAACAGCAATTCATTTTTATATATATAGATGCACACAGTGTACGACTTAACTTTGTAATAACGTACAAAAAATAACATATTTTTTATCATTCATTGACCACGATCTCAGAGCGTTCGTTTGCGTAATACACTAACTCTTATGCAAATAACCGTGAATGAAGTGTACCACAATAAGTTCGCACGTTACCGAATGACCGTGGGTTGTTGCGAAACCTCCGGTTTTATTTTCCTTATACCTCGAATAGAACTTAAAATTAATATTTTTATAATAAGGAACTTCGTTTCTATCCGGTATCCCACGACATCACACATCTTTTTTTTTAAACGCCGGTCGTGTCGTTATAGTAACATGGCCGTTTGTCCACTGAGTTTCTCGCCGGGATCTTCTCAGTGGGTCACGTTTCCGATCCGGTGGTAGATTCTGCTAAGCACCGCTCTTGCTAGGGCCAGTGTAAGCAACACTCCCGGTTTGAGCCCCGTGAGCTCACCTACACGTCACGGAGAAGCTGAAATAATCTCTCAAGGCTATCAGCATAGGTAGGAAAACAAAAAAAAAAAAACGGCCTCCGACACCTCGTCCACTCTCAAGACAAACTTGAACAAAACAAAACTGAACTAACAAACTAAAGCTGAAACTGAGCTAACAAAATTGAACACAATAAATTTTCAAGTAATGAGTAAAAATAGATGTGATTGTCAATAGAGCATCTTTTTTTTAATAGTGACGTTGTAATCGATTATTTGTCGCCAATGTATGTCTCCAATGATCATAAACTTGATTAGAAACTCTTTTGTTAACTAATATGTGATTCTTTATTACGATATTTATATCGAGGGGTGAAAGACCATTTGATTTAAGCGAAATTTATGCAACATTACAGGAGAGCCATTTACAGTTTACAATTTGGAAAAAATATCGTAACGAATTGTAACGTATCGAATTGTTGATGATAATCTCAAATAAAACGGACCTTTGATTACGAAAATAAATTTCGCGTATTAAGTGAAATTTCTCTACATATTTTTAAATCTAAAATAGTTTTAGCAATAAGACAATCATAGATCTCCTCTAAATCTTATTTCGTTCGAAATATTCTCTAGAGCGCTGCCTGTTGCGTATTTTTTCGAAATTCTTTCCTGTTTTCCTACGGTTCAATCTCGCACAAAAATAATCTTTGAACACCTTTGAGTTGCACTACGGGAAAATAACACCACATTAAACGATAATGTATTGATTGTATAAAATATTTTTAACAGGCGATCATAAATAATGTTAATTTTTTGTTATTTAAAAATAACTTGTCGATTCTGAGAAGGAACGACGATCAAAACAATATCGAATACTACACAAAAAAAGTGGCATTCGGAATGCCACGAATCGGATTGATATAATTATTCAGAGTTGTTGCGTAAAGGACAATGCCCAAAAGTGGGCCAACTTTGTGTCAAAACTATTTGTACTTGAAAAACTATGCCTTATTTTTTCACGTTGTTTAGTTTATGTATCAACATTTCTTTCAACCTGGCATTGTTTTAGTTTATAACATCCGAAAACTGAGTACTCCATCATTCATAGTTTTTAAATTCGCCAATAGGCAGACATAGGGCTTAGCCCATACAGCCTTATATAAACCTAAATGCTGCCAAACGAAAGAGACGTCTATGACTTGAACAACATATTAAAAAAAAATTCTAGTGGTTATAACTCACAGACTTTTTTAGTTTATTTTTGTTCAATTCAATATTTATATATTGTAATAATAATTATTACTTAAAACCATGAAGTATTTAATATTTTTAGACATTAATGATTCCATTAGTAAAAATCTTAATGGCCCACCATTACGTATTCTTGTTATATAATAATATGATCAGAGAGTTTTGGCAGCAACCCGAGTGAAGCGTCACTTGAAGTTTTACTTTAATGTTTTTTTAATAGTTTATTGTGATGTATAATATATAAATTGGGTGTTGTTTTGTGTATTAAACGTCAATAAATCGTTGTTCACGATTACTGAGGCATTGGAATAAAACTGTGGCTAGCATAGCAGTGACTGTTTTTTTTTTTCAAGTTAAAAGGTCAGGTAAGATTGGTGGACGAGCTCACAGTCCACTTGGTGTTAAGCGGTTACTGGAGCCCATAGACATCTACAACGCAAATGCCGCCACCCACCTTAAGATATGAGTTCTTGGTCTCAGTATAGTAGCAACGGCTGCCCTACCCTTCAAACCGAAACGCATTACTGCTTCACGGCTAAATAGTTAGGGTGGTGGTACCTACCCGTGTGGACTTATTTACAAGAGGTCCTACCACCAGTTGAACTTTTGATGATGATAGCCCATATTCTAAGTCCGCACGGGTAGGTCACACTCTAATGCTCATGCATCTGCCGCGAAGCTCTGATATTAGAAACGAGACTTCGCCGTCATGAATTAAGACGAGTGATGATGACATTCATAGTGACATGTACCCAAAATAAATATATTATTTTAAATATTATTGTCAATGTTATTGTCAATGTTATTTCTCAGGGTCTACCCACGCACGATCACGAGGGCAAGGAGCTGAGTAAGGGTCTCCTAAAAAAGCTACAGAAACTACAACAAGCACAAGAGAAGAAATATAACGAGTATTTAACTTCTATAAATACTTGCTGACGTCGGACTGTGTATTGCGTAATGATTTTCTATTTTCCATTATTGTATTCTTTGCATTTTTCAAGTAAGATATAAATAGTTCTAATCACGTCTCTTTTATTTTCTATGAAGGATATTTCCAACAAAGTGCTCAAAATATAGTGGCCGGGCGTATTTATATTCAATTTAATCTAAGTTGCTTTATGTCTAATACTCGAGTTTTAGTTTAATGTATTGATTTACTTTAAATTAGGAAACGTTAAAAAAAATGCCGCTTTTTTTCTATTAAAATTAACTTGTGTTAACTAAAAGGAGAACCTTGTATTTTGCCGTCGGAGCTCAGTATTAAGACTCGTTTTTTGCACACTTCGTTGTTTCCATTATTTGTATAAATTGCAACAAATAAACAAGATAAAAATAAATACTGTTTTTTATTCTTAAAAAAAGACAACAAAAAAAAACGTGTCCCTCATGTTTAAGGTAATAATCGATTGAATAAAAACGCCGATTATCTTCATTTAATAAACATTATAATGATTTGTCTCGTCGACGGGGAATCACAATAGAGGTGCACTACCGATCTATAACGCTTCAATGAGAATTCTGTAAAGACGGTGTAGCCCCGTGCGCGACAAAATACTAATAAAAAGAGCCAAACTGCAGTTAAAAAATGTAAAAAGTGAGGTAAACAATCTGAGCGAGTTTTTTGTGTGGCGGCTCCGACAATAGTGTCGTGCTACTAGGGTGGCGCAAGTACCGCACGCGAGCGACTCGCCATCTGCGTCCGCGGCACGTTACCGCGAGCTAAATATGTTTTTAATAATAGGGATGTATCAATTTAAGTACTTTCGAATTTCTGTTTAAAAAAAATGGAATTTGAGATTATTTTTTTGCGAGCACCGCGTTTATTCAGATTATAAAATGTAATTAATCGTCTGGTAGGATGCACGGTGGACTCGTGACCCCCGGCAACCGTACTCGTCGAATTCAGCAAAAAGTTCGAAGTGCAACCTAACCCATGAATCAGCCCGCTGAGTTTCTCGCCGGCTCTTAGCGGGTCGCGATTCCGATCCGGTAGTAGATTCATTCGCGAAGCAGCTGCTCTTGAGTTGTTATGTCTCCCTCGGAGACGCTCGGTCAGCTGTTAGCAAATCCCACCCTTCCTGGCTGAGCCTTTGCTCGCCTACCTGTCCTGGTGAAACTGGAAAGGCCTCCGGGCCACCAGTAATCCTTCAATCATAAAAAAAAGGACTCGTGTCATTTTTTTCCCTACCTAATCGCTGGTAGCCTGGGGGGCTATTCCAGCTACGCCCGGACGGGTAGCTGAGCTCACGGGCTCAACCTGAGAGAATTTGCTAACACTAGCCCTAGCAAGAGCAGTGTTCGCAGAATCTACCACCGAATCGGAACCGCGAACCACTGAGAAGATTCGGCGAGAAACTCAGTGGGCACTTCGTGTCAAACGATGCGATTAAGCCGATGTTCAAATCCCGCAGACACATATTTATAATAAAAAATACTTAGCACATGTTTACGAATGATGATGAAAGAATAAACATCTTGTAGGTAATAAAAATCGAACCTGTAAAAATTATAATTTACTTTATTACTGCGCACTTCTAGTGAAGCACTCACGCGTTGCAATTGTAAGGATCAGATAGTAGTCGTGGAATATAATACAACGGAGAGTTACATCTCATGTTTCAAGGTGACATTCACATGGTGTCCACGGGCTGCGGCAATCACTTAAACCGGGCAGTGTGCTACAGTTTACGCAATACATAAAATATATCGAAGTCTTTAAAATTGATTTAAAAAAATTTGCAAAACAGAGTATATTTTTATTAGATCTTTATCTTTAGATTTACCTACGAAATTGGCATTTACTGTACACTGTACAGAAAGTTGTCTTTTTTTCTAATATTCCAAATTGGCGTCCATGGTATCAATGGCTCTCTGTCAGCGCAGCGGTAATTCCAATGCTCTTCTTGAACAATACAGATGTACGTGAGCTAACAAAATATTTACAGGCATTTTGTTTGCCAAGATGTCCGAACTTTGGAACAAGTAGAAATCTGCCAGCGTAAGGTCTTGTGATAACCGTGATTGACGCAAAACTTCCAATCCTAACGTCTGCGGCTTAGATACTATTTGTTGTGCTGTATGCGGTCAAGAATTGTGTAGTAGCAGCGGGAACGAGCGATTCTAGATCTTTGTATCCAGTTCCTCAGAGTACAATACATCAGCAGTAATGTTGGTGACATTTGGTAAGAAGCTGTGATGGTTATAGAAGTTATACGGGCACTAGACCACCAAACAGAGACCATGACATTTTTAGGGGTAAGTTTTCGTTTGGGGCATAGCCTAAGTGCTGAACCAGGGTCTTACCAGCATTATGACTGCTTACGAACCAACAAGAATGTATTCAGCGATGCAACGGTGTTCGAATCCCGCAGGCGGGTACCAATTTTTCTAATGAAATACGTACTTGACAAATGCTCACGATTGACTTCCACGGTGAAGGAACAACGTCGTGTAACAAAAATCAAACCCACAAAATTATAATTTGCGTAATTACAGGTGGTAGGACCTCTGGTGAGTCCGCACGGGTAGGTACCACCGCCCTACCTATTTCGGCCGTGAAGCGATTTGAAGGGGGGGCAGCCGTTGTAACTATACTAAGACTTTAGAACTTATATCTCAAGATGGTGTCGCATTTACGTTGTAGATGTCTATGGGCTCCAGTAACCACTTAGCACCAGGTGGTCTGTGAGGTCGTCCAATCATCTAAGCAATAATTATTATTATTTTATGTCAAGTGACAATACAGTTCAAAATCTTTTTGTTTTTGTTGAGCAACGCAAGACACACCTTAATGCATTCCTCGCGCTAGCAGTCGTTCAGTTCGTGCGGCATCCACTTATCTTTTCCTGTCAAATGTGCCTAGACGAGGATTTGGTACAATTTTTTATTGCTGAGACCACTAACTTTACTTTTACTAGTTATTAAGATCTCGAAAATACATGTCTAGAGCCTCAACCTTGCTGCTCTTTCTATCCAGACGCCGATCAACCGATGAACTGATGTCATCCGAAAACACACAAAATATTTAAGTATCTGATCACTACATAGTATAAAACAAAGTCGCTTTCTCTGTCCCTATGTATGCTTAAATCTTTAAAACTACGCAACGGATTTTGATGCGGTTTTTTTAATAGATAGAGTGATTGAAGAGGAAAGTTTATATATAATAACATCCATTAAGCAATGGAGAAATCAATAATAAATTACAGTTTCCGAAGCGAAGCGAGGGCGGGTCGCTAGTTTTAAATAAAACAACTAAAATAACAAACCTCTTTTTCTCACTCAATTTTTTCAACTTAACGAATACGAATAGATATGCATTCACACCTTTCTGACGGGTAATAATCCCAAATAGGTGCCATTTTTCTGAAGTCAATACGAATGTCCACCTAACACGTGTTCACGAATGATATAAAGGCCTAGAATAGCACCAGCTCATGTCTTGTCGGTGCCGTTGTGCTGACGTCTTATCGATTCATCAGAAAATGGTGAGCAGCGTTCACTGAATTAAATCCGCTTGTTGTAGACCCACACCGGATGGGCACCACCATACTGCTTTTTTCTGTCATAAAGCAGGCATGTTATACAATACAATTGAAGCTTTGACCTCATATCTCAAGGTGGGTTGCGGCATTCAGGTTGTAATAACTACGATCTCCAAAAATCACGTATCACCAGGGCCGCTTACGCAATATCGCCGTTTACGCAATAAAAAAAAGGATGCAATTATTTTATTAAAAATCCAACCCGCATAATTGATAATGTTCCCTAACTGAGGGCTATTTGCGAGTCGGTACTGTTTTTTTTTATCCTAACCAAGCTTGAGCCTTCAGAGGCTATTCCAGCGTAACCTTAGCTAGTAGGTGAGGTCACGGGGCTCAAACCGGAGTGATACTAACACTGGCCCTAGCAAGAGCAGTGCTTCGCAGAATCTACCACCGGATCGGAAACGCGACCCATTGAGAAGATCCGGTGAGAAACTCATTGGGCTGCGTCTATGGGTTAATTCGCTCGTCGAGCCCTTCGTCGCAAGCGACGGATTCGACGAGGACGGTGACCGGTGCTTGAGGTACCTAAAAGCACCGTTAGTGGATCGGGAGGATCCGTAATGACGTATTTTGGGCGACCTCGACTGTTTACGATTCGGTCTACAGGATCGGGTATGTAGTTTCCAGCAGCCACGATAAGAGGGTTCTCACGTCGTGCCGCCTTCTCAAATTGAGGGTACTGATAGGCACCATCACACCGCCTGCCTTCTTAAAGGGATCAAGGGGAGGGGAAATCAAGATTTGGAACTCATGTCCTAAGGTGGGTTTATTCATAAATTGTGTTTCTGATATATTTCATTTAGAATTTCGTGGTGTGTTAAATCGAATACGTATTTGTAAGTACATAGCTACTAATATGTGAGATTTAAATCGTTCCATTCATGATTATTTGAAAAATTTGATGTGATCTCAGATCATGCGAGAATGTATAGGTAGGTACATTGTAAAAAAAAAATTAACGGAAATTCCCAAAAGAATAATTACGGCAGCTTCTGGTCGTGAATTATATTTGAATAGTTTTTGAATCTGATCAAAATCACTTTGATCCTGGTCAGATTTAACAATAGTTGTCGCGAGGGCAAAGGGAGACGCAATTCTGCAAAACATGTTGTAGCCGGCAGCGGTTGACCGCCCGGCGAGATGTCAATCACAACCATTTGAATGAAAACATTGTTCCTTTCCGCATACCGTTGCGATTCTNTCTGGTCGTAAATTATATTTGAATAGTTTTTGAATCTGATCAAAATCACTTTGATCCTGGTCAGATTTAACAATAGTTGTCGCGAGGGCAAAGGGAGACGCAATTCTGCAAAACATGTTGTAGCCGGCAGCGGTTGACCGCCCGGCGAGATGTCAATCACAACCATTTGAATGAAAACATTGTTCCTTTCCGCATACCGTTGCGATTCTACGATAACACAACATTATTATAATGAAGTCAACGGACTGAAAGTTACATTTCACCAAAAAATTAAAGATTCTCGAGATTCATTATACGTTCATATAGTTCAACTATTTCACATTCGGTCATGTGGAATTTTACTGTAACGGTCGCGCAATTGAAATCGTTGTCGACTTGCATACCGAATTAAATAATATTTCTACATTTCGGTAAATTCCAAAGAAGATTGACATATCTCGATCTTGGGGAATTAAAAAAAAAACTATTTGATTCAAGAGCACCAAAAAAGCCAACGGTTAGTGAAACGAACACAAAAAACAGATAAAATTAATTAAATATTCAAACGTATTTCACGTAATTCGAAATTCAGGAGACGCT